ACAATTAAAAGAGGTCCAATTTTTTCTTTTAATCGAAGAACTTAAGGTATCAACTTTTATAATTTCTCCTACAAAGTGACATTATTATGGTTTGGCTATCTATCTATCTATCTATCTATCTTGGTATGGATACAGTCTCAGGTGACATTTTTTGTTTGGATTCATATCATTCTTCTTTGAATTTGTTTCAGACACTGAAGATGCTAGAAGACAACTCAGTACGAATTGCATGATCTGAGTAAGCTTCTAATTACTTGGAGAAGTAAAAAAACCAATTCACACCATTTCCAAGTTAAAAAATATACACATCATTCTAACTTAAATATCAGCAAAATCAAACAATATACCATGAGTTAAAATGTACAGATCATTTTAACTTAAATATAAGTTTCTGATTTTTTTGACGGTTTGCATGTTTCTGCCATAAGTTTTTGTTTAGTTCAAACATACATTTATGATTTTCTTAACGGTGTCCATGATTGTATTACATCTTTTTGAGAAGATAAGTTTCTAATTTTTTAACGACGTCCATGATTGCAAAATTACCACAAGGATAATTGTGAAGGCGTACTCTCGAAGTAGGACTGCAACCTTCTTGTTGTTGCAAAATATTTCGGCTCAGTTGTATTGCTCTTACCGAATTTGGGTATCATCAGATTTGAGTTCATATGAATGGGATGAAAGTCGTATCTCTAATATCAACCATAGAATGGCAATTTCGCACCCAACCTTTTTCCTATCTTCTTGAGCGGATAACTCAATCAATGTTACATCCATCTTATGATGGTTTTCAGTCTGATGTCTTTCATTGTTCAAATCGTCATGATCAGAGTAGGTTTTTTGGGTTGTTTAATATCATAAGAGGGTATTATCTTAACATACAGGTTTATATTTTTCATCCTCCCTTGTCTTATTAAAGTATTTAGATAAAAACTTTTAAAATCTTATAAAGCATTCATGAACAGGTGCACTGATTTTCTATTTCTGGTTTATATGAAAATATTTGGAGGTATATTGGTGCTTCAATAATATTCTTGGTGATGTTTTTGTGTGGCTTTATAGGGTTTTTCTATGTTCCCTTTGTTGCATATCTGGATGATTCTGTTGGTCCTGTTCTTCAATGACACATGAATACCAGTTAATATGGGGTTTTAGCAGAAAATGTCTTGGTTTTATTCTTTTTGTGATTTCTTCCTTTCTCCCACTTATGTATCGTTCTAATCTTGGGTGTTCTCATAATTGTTACAGTGGTAGCTTTTATCCATGTTTTGTAGTTTTGTAAAAGTTTTGATTAATAAGTGAACAGTTTAGGAATGTTTTTTCTCCTCAATATATTACTACTGTTTGGATGCTTTCATTATTTTTTCTGATCTTGCTCTGCTTGAATAACATATTATTCTGCTTCCTGATCTTGCTTTATTGTTCTTTTGATTGAAATCTGAAATATGTTCCATGATAAATCATATTGGCTATAAAAATTGCATTTTCTGTTGGAAAAAATGGCTTTTTTTTTTTTTTCCTATTTTGGAACATAAAATCTGGAACTTACATAATCTCAATTTATGTAGATTATTGTAGATTGATGTTCTCCTCCGTGATGATACCTTCGTTTCGATACATTGAACGTCAAAAACGGACTTCATATGAATGAGAAATTAATCAACAAAGTAAGGTACATGAATGGAGTATAAAGTGGGTAAATAGCTATTTAAGCCATCCCACATAGGTGGATGAGTAAAAAAGAGAGTTTACAAGTAGAAACAATTCATGTGGTTGTAAGAATTATATAACCAAGGCTCTTTCTTGGGCATAGTTGGGGGGGGGGGGGGGGGGAGTGCAAATGTGAACATAAATTGGCTTGTGTGTGTGTGTGCGTCCTGTGACCACGAATGCACCATCGGTCGACCAAAAAGAATTCAAACACATTTTTGCTAAAATTTTGTAACTGGTGTATTAATTGTATTAATGGTAGATATTTTCGGTTTTGATTAAATAATAAAAACTTGAATCAATTCGATTTCAGTTTTGATTAGATAATTAAAAAGTAAATCAATACCGTATTAATTCTTATTTTGTCTGTTACGAAATTTGCTAATATATTTACGTCACTCCTCCAAACAGAAAATACACCGAAAAACAACAGAACATCTACTTCTTCCCTTCTTGTCTTTCTCTAATAGCTAAAACCTAAAAGATTGATTTCACTTTTAATCTTAGCCTATCACTATATATATATATATATATATATATATATATATATATATATATATATATAGACTTGGGATCATGTGAGACCAGCCTGTTTTCGTGAGACCCGTGAGACCTGCATTTTACACTTGAAACTTCACAGCACAAATGCTGTGAAGGTGACTTTTTAAAACCTTCACAGTATTTTTGCTGTGAATGTTCGACTTTTTAAAACCTTCACAGTGTTTTTGCTGTGAAGGTTCAACTTTTTTAAAACCTTCACAGTGTTTTTGCTGTGAAGGTTCGACTTTTTAAAACCTTCACAGTGTTTTTGCTGTGAAGTTTACGTGTAAAAATGTGGTCTCACGGGTCTCATGAAAACAGGCTGGTCTCACGTGAACCCAACCCTATATATATATATATATATATACATATAATACCCTGTAATTATTAAAATTACATTTTAACACATATTCATAATTATTCTACAAGGATAATCATTCTATCCATCAACATAACTTATTTCGGGTTTCTAGCAATAACATATTATGTGTGCGACCCTATAAGTTTACATATTCATTGCCAGTGTTTCTGTGAGAAAGACGTAATGGGCATATGATAATTTGCAAGTTTTTTATTCAATCTTTATCGTCAAGAGGCAATTTTAATCACCCGGTTTACTAAGTTTAGGTTTGAATGGTCGATCGGTTAGGTTATGGTCAACTTCTGTTGCTTTTATAGATCATGTAAGCCAGCATTTGTAAGGTTTATAACAGAGTTTGCTGCAATTTCTATTAATTTTCTATTATTAAGGAAACATATTATATACCACACATCTTCTTATAAGGAACGGTGCCTGCAATTGACAAAGAAACGTAATAGAATTCAACACAAAGAGACAGAACAAAGAAAGGTAATCAATGAACATATACCACTTGTTCTTGCTGGGCCTCTTGTTTTATATGTGGTCTCCTATATGCTTGTCCTTTTCCCCTATAAATATATAGAGAGAGAGGGAGAGGAGGGCGATCAAACGCAAACCATTCAATTTGTACAAACCGTGCAAACCACCCTCATCTGTTGATTTCATTGTTTAATATTATGAAATTGTTTCATGAAATTGTTTAATCTTGTAAAATTGTTTCATATAATACTTTTTTTGATGAAGCTGTTTCATATATGGTTATGAAATCGTTTCATATAATACTTAATGAAATTTTAATGAAACTGTTTCATGTATTTCTCTAAAATTAAAACAATGAAGATGATAAATCTATGATTAACACTCTCGACAATAAAAATGATTAATCAACTTCTCATAATTACAAAAAAATGAACAAAATGAAAAATTATGATTGGTTGAATAAGGATTGCACGGTTTGTATAGATTGGATGGTTTGTATTTGATCGCTCCTCTCTCTCTCTCTCTCTCTCTCTCTCTATATATATATATATATATATAGGGAAGGGTTTAAACGAGAACATCTTTAATATACGAGAACGCGAGAACACCCTTTTACTATAGACAATCACATGTGATACTATTATTTTATCACATACGATACACATGTGATACTCAATCAGAGACACGGACGATTTTTGACGCGATCTTTGTTGTGGGCCAAGTCGCCCTTACACCACTAAACCCCCTCATATGTGATAAAGGTGTTGTTAATATGATACTGTAAGTCTGTAATCCATCAAAACCATGACATGTGATGCTAAATCATAGACGCAGCCAACCTTTGGCACGGTCTATAAGTCGTAGAACACGTCTTCTGCATACCCCTAAGTCTCCTCACGCGTATTATCACATGTGATAAAAGTGTTCTTACGTTCTCGTAAAATGGAGGTGTTCTCGTTTGAACCTCCACCTATATATATATATATATATATATATATATATAGGGTTGGATTCACGTGAGACCAATCTGTTTTCGTGAGACTTGTGGGACCACATTTTTATGCTTAAAACTTTACAGCAAAACATTGTGAATGTAAAAAGAACTTCACAGCAAAAACATTGTGAAGGTCGCTTCATAGGGTTTTACTGTGAAGTTTCTAGTGTAAAAATGTGGTCTCACAGGTCTCAACATGATCCAAAGTGTATATATATATATATATATATATATATATAAACCTACTTAAATTTACTAACAGAGTGTATCAGAACTTAAGTTTATAGAACTAAACAATCGTTGTTCATACATAAAAGACGTTGCAATAAGTTTATGGGATATATTTGTGTATTTTTACAAGTTTTTAGGATTTTTTTTAAATAAAAATGTTGTATTAGGTTTTCTTTGCTATCTTAGCATCACATCTTTTTATGGCATACATGTTTTTTTTGCATCAATTTTCAATAATGTCATATTTAATACGGTGTTTTATTTCAGAAGGCTCTAAAAAACGTCATATAAACTTATTACAAAACTTTAAATTAAGACACTTAGGGGTTGTTTGTTTATCTCTTAATAGTTCCAATAAGAGGCAACATCTGAATCGTTAAAAGGTGAATCTTGTTTGGCGAAAAAAAAAGTCTTAATCATTCATGAGAGCCTCTTAATCATTCTGACCACTTAATCATTTTACACCAAACCATTCAGCAACTGTCAAACAGCCCAGACACATTAATGGCTGATATAAACAATTTGGTCAGCAAAAAAAGAGATGCATAAAATGAAACAAAGGTCAAGGTTATAACAAAGAGTTGGGAGGTGAAACCAAGAGAGTGATACTCGACCAAGACTGAAATCTACCACTTGTTTAAAACCTCTATATATATTAAGCTTTCTGTAGGCAGCTAATTAATCATGGATGTTTCAGGAAGTGATCCCCAAAAAGTGAGTCAAGAAGCAGGTAAATTAAGCCCTCTACCACCTCCATATATTTCAATGTTGTTAGCATGGATGCATCATACTTAAAAACTCTATATACATATACATATATATATATATATATATCTAATTTTTTGAACCTTCTGTTTGTTCTGGTGATGTGAAGTTGTTATGACACAAGAGGAAAACGATTGTCCGATTGAGCAAGTTCGACTCACAGTCCCAACGACCGATGATCCGACACTGCCTTGCTTGACTTTCCGGACGTGGTTTTTAGGGATCATTTCGTGTGGTGTTCTTGCGTTTTTGAACCAGTTCTTTGGGTATCGACAGAACGCACTAACAGTGTCGTCTGTTTTAGCACAGATTGTTGTTCTTCCCGTGGCAAGAATGATGGAAGCAAGTCTACCCAGAGAACCAATAAGAATTCTAGGAACAAGATGGTCGTTTTCGTTGAATCCGGGGCCTTTTAACATGAAAGAGCATGTCCTTATCACGATATTTGCAAATGCTGGTTCCAGTTCTGTTTATGCAGTGGGGATTATCACTATTGTCAAAGCCTTCTACCACACTGAAATTCACCCACTTGCAGCAATGCTGCTAACCCAAAGTACTCAGGTAAGTTTCTGATGCTTCTATTTCTTTAATCTAAATAAGAACAAGAACCATATATATATATATATATATATATATATATATATATACTTGGGATCATGTGAGACCAATGGTTTTTCGTGAGCCCCGTAAGACCAATTCTCAACCTTTGGATTAGATCTACAATCTGAACATTCATAATCGCAAAATTGGCACGAGACTTCTCAATAATTACAAAATTGACACCGTGCAACTTTAGACCATTAGATCATTAGCTTATAAAGTTGATCAATGAACATAAATTGGTCTTACGGGTCTCAAGAAAAACCCTTGGTCTCGAACCCAATCCTATATATATATATATATATATATATATATGATATGGGTAACTGCTTTAAATTGATGATACCTGTTATCTGATGGCTTTTTTCATGGTTGGATGATGTATAGCTTCTTGGATTCGGATGGGCAGGTCTTTTCAGAAAGTTTTTAGTTGACTCCCCGTACATGTGGTGGCCTGCGACTCTGGTTCAAGTCTCCCTGTTCAGGTTCACCCTCCCCCCCCTCACCCTTCTCTATATATATATATATATATCTTGGGATCATATAAGACCAAGACTTTTCGTGAGACCCGTAAGACCAATTCTCAACCTTTGGATTAGATCTACAATCTCAACATTCATAATCACAAAATTGTCACGAGACTTCTCAATAATTACAAAATTGCCACCGTGCAATTTTAGACCATTAGATCGTTAGATTATGAAGTTGATCAATGAACATAAATTGGTCTCACGGGTCTCACGAAAAACTTTTGGTCTCACGTGAACCCAACGGTTTTTCGTGAGACCAATTCTCAACCCTTGGATTAGATCTACAATCTGAACATTCATAATCACAAAATTGCCACCGTGCAACTTTAGACCATTGGATCATTAGCTTATAAAGTTGATCAATGAACATAAATTGGTCTTACGGATCTCACGAAAAACCTTTGGTCTCATGTGAACCAACCCTATATATATATATATATATATATATATATATATATATATATATAT